TTCTGCATCACTTCTATTCCAATTTGACAGCTCCTTGCTCATACTTCATGTATTCAAAAAATATTTATTGTTCACTTCTTATGCCAGCCAGATGAGGCACATGTTTATTCTCCCTGAATAACATATCTATCTTCCTGAATAACATGAAAGCCTCTAAGGACAGGGGCCTTGACTATGGCTTCAGGGCCTGACATTTGAGAAATGTTTGATTTGCAGAATGAGTAAGAGCTGCACGGTGATATGTACTCAGGAAATCAGAATTGCCTGCTACAATTTCTTGCTTAGGTTTCATGGCTTTAAGGGAGCCAATATTCCAAAGTGGTCCCAGGGCTGGGATAAAACATTCCCTGTCTGCACTTTTCCCGGCCAGCCATGGTAGCCTTCCTGTTTGTGTATGCAGACAGTACTTATTAAGGGCCTACTGTGTACAGGCCTGTGTTCAGTGTCAGTCTATCCTGTCTAGCTCACCCAGCAGCTAGCACTTAGCAGCTACCCTGGAGAGGCCAACAGGATGCCCTGCCCCAGCTTAATAAGCAATTTTCTGAAGGTCATCTATGATGCAGCCAAGTGGCAGGTATCCTCCCACACCTGTAACTCCCTTCCACCAAGTTTCCCAGATATTCAGGCTTTCATTGCAACCCACAGGGATGGCACAGAGAGCTGGCCTGCCCTGTCCCCGGGGCCTGTGTGCTAGCTGCATTTCTCCAGCCCATTTCCCAAGTAGTGTACGTGTCTACTGTCCCTGCCCTGTGCCCAGCCTAATTCTCTCACAGGTTCTGGCCATTGGCAGGCCATCTAGCATATCAGCCAAGAAGACAGATTGTGGATTCCAGCAGGACAAAGCTGTGTCACACTGGTTCTATTACTTACTAGCTCTGGATCTTGGACAAGTCACATTACCTCTTCAAACCTCAGTTTCTTCCTCTGCAAAACAAAAACTATCACAGCACTGACCTTTGGGGATGTTATTACTGGTTCCTCCAGTGCCTCCTGCACCTCCCTACTCTGTGGCACATGAGGTCTCACCAGTCCCAACTCAAAGGACAAGTGAGCAGAGGAGAAACAGCTCTCTTTGGGCAACATTTCTATGGCACTCTCATACCAGAAACTAATAGCAAAAGAAGGATGCAGTGCAACTCAGGACAACACATATAATTCAAACAACAAATGTATACTGGCTGGGCATCAAGGATACATAGAAAAATCAACAGCATCACTGAGGAATGCAGTCACAAGGGGGAGGCAGACCTATAAACAAAACTGTAGAGTCGGTGCCGGCTACACCGCGTGTGCTGTTACCAGACAGGTGCATCAGGAACACAGGCAGTGGAGTCAGTCATTCCACTGGGGATGGGGGTGACTTGGATGAAAGAAAAAGTTGATGAGTTTGGCTCCCTCCATTTCCTAAATGCTCTATGCCAACTGCAGTCCTTGGATTAACAAGATATTTGAGTGAGGGGAGAGTCTGATCTAAAAACAAAGGCTGAATAGTGGTTTCACCAAGAACAAGCAAATACCCCACAAGTGACCTTGGAGACCTCATGTTGTAATCCACACAGGTGTATCACCTCCTCTCTCCCTGACACAACTATGTGGCAGCTGCCATTCTCATTTCCTAGGATGCTGCATCTACCCACTCTTTGCCCTAGGAAGTGGCTCTCTGTAACCGGGAAAACAGCCCGGGCTCTCAGCCCTTAGGACACAATAGGGAGGTTTCTCAGAACAGGAACAGGGACATGATACTGTCCTGAGTCCCCTACTCTTTGGTGACCTGTAATCTTGGTTCCCTGGCATCTTCCTCTTCCCTACCAGCTAAATGTCCACTGAGGCAGCAAAAACAGGAGCAAACCCAGGGAACTGGAGGAGCAACAGAAGCCATGGTGTGGACAAACTGAGGAATGAGTGGCCAGAAGGCACTTGCAGGGCAGCCTTCAAAGTCCAGCTGCAGCTCTCTGGCTCTCTGGCTGCACATCCCCTACCTGACGGGCGGGTCCTCCTCTGACTGTCCTTTCTGCTGTACTCCAGCAACCAGGTGCCAAGCTAGCAGTAGCCACAGCCAAGACAGAGGCCCAAAGGCCTGGGAGGCACCAGACGTCTACCAATCTTATCTTCCAAGTTCCTAATACAATATTTTTGGTACAAAAGGAAAAAACAAAACAAAAAATAAAAAAATAAGACCCCTCTCTTGTTTTTAGTAACAAGGGTAAGCTGAAATTGTCCTTTTTGTTCAGTGAGGTATGGTGGTTAAGGGTGTAGATTCCGGAGCCAGGCTGCTGTCTGATCCTAGCCCTGCTCCTCAGCTGTGGGACCCTGCATAAGCCATTCTATCTTTCTGTGCCTCTGTTTCCTCATCTATAAATGGCAATAGTAACAGTGCCTATCTCAATGGGTAGCTGTTAGGACAAAATGGCTACTATATGTCAAGTGTTTAGGGGCCAGGTATAATGGCTGACACCTATAATCCTAACAGTTTGGGAGGCTGAGGCAGGAGGATCACTTGAACCCAGAAGTTTGAAACCAGCCTGGGCAACATAGCAAGGTGTCATCTCTACAAAAAACTTAAAAACTAGCTGGGTGTGGTGGTGTGGCCCATAGTCCCAGCTACTCAGGAGGCTAAGGTAGGAGGATCGTTCGAGCCCAAGAGGCTGAGGCTGCAGTAAGCTGACAGGCCACTGCACTCCAGCTGGGTGACAGAGTAAGACCTTATCTCACGAATAGATGGACGGACGGATGGATGGACAGACAGACAGACCGATAGAAAGAAAGATAGAAAAAGCATTTAGGGCAGTGCCTGCCACATGTTTTTATCTTGGCATATGTGTGAGGAAGAACACTTGACCCAGATGGCGTGGAAGGGAGCTAGGTGAACATGCCCATACCTTTAAATGGGTCCTGGGTGCAAATTCCATTCCAGGCTCCCCAAGGAGGTTTCTTTCCTCTCTCTCTCAATCTCTCTCTCCTTTTTAGAGATGGGGTCTCACTCTGTCACCCAAGCTGGAGGGCAGTGGCGTAATCATAGCTCACTCGGCTGCCTCGAATTCCTGGGCTCAAGGGATCTTCCCGCCTCAGTCTCCTGCATAGCTGCAACACAGGTGCACACTACCATGCCAAGCTAATTTTGTAAATTTTTGCAGAAATGAGGTCTTGCTATGTTGTTTAGGCTGGCCTTAAACTCCTGGCCTTAAGTGATTATCCTACCCCAGGTTCCCAAAGTACTGGGATTATAGGAGTGAGTCACTGCACCTGGCCTGGAGGTTTATTTTCTTTACAGCAAAGAACCATCAACAGGAGTGAAGACCCAGTTACCTTGAGCAGCGCTTGTCAAGCCAAACAGAGTAGTCCTGGGTAGTGCTGTGACCTGCTGCCCACTGTCCTGGCAGTATACAGCATCCCCTGGAGGACACCAACGCTTCATCCATGGGCCCGGCCCTACCACTGAGTGGATCATATCTCTGCGCAAGACCCTTAGACACCCCATGCCTCTGTGCTAACTATCTCTGCCTCCACCAGTTGTACAGCTTATAGAGATTGTTAAGAGTTACAAAATTACTGACAGTAAAGTCTAGGCATCATGAGAAGATTCAAACATCATCCCACTTCATCCTCACATAGCTCCCAGCAGTCCAAGAAACAACAACAGCATCTAAGTGACGGAAAATTCATTTTAAAAAGAATCTCCAAACATCTTTTGAAAAAAGCCTCACTGGTCAGATGGACTTGGAATCACAGGGCTAGCAGCAACTGCTAAGACCAGTGGCTTCCAAACTTGCTTTCGACCTCCAAAGCCACTGCTCAGTTGAAATTCACCCAGAAGTCCAGTACATAAAACTGACATAAACAGGGCTGCTATGGTGGAAATAGTGCCCAAACTGCCTACTTGGCAGCATCTCTCCAGTCTCTCAGCCCCTGGTGGCACCCAAGACAACTCTAAGGAACCCCTGGGACTCCAGGAAGCACTGATAGAAAACCAAGAATCTAGGCCAACCTCCCCAGGTTGATACAAGAAAATGAGTCCCATAGAAGTCATGCACTGAATGGCAACTGAATGCAAACCCAGTTTTCTGACACCGGGCTAAACTTCTCACTCTACTTTGCTAGGACTAAATCTATGGAAAACTGCAATTTAAAGAACCAAGGCTCATTTTTGATCATCTACAATATAATCCCTGAGTATTTTAAAGGCCCTTGAACCAGCCAAGTAGGAAACAGCCCAGCCCCACAGATTGGCAGAAAGAAGTTCGGAAATGAGTTGCAGAAGCACATCTGACAATTCCATACAGTTTCTGTCAGTTCCGTGGGATATAAACAGGTCTTGAAAGGCTTGTGCTGTGTAGCTATGAGAGACCCCAGATCAGGCGGGCCAGGAGGTGAATGCTAATGAGCTATGGAAATAGCAATTACTTCCCCCATGTCAGGCACTATGCCAAGCAAAGGAGGATAAAGAGGTCTGAGAGATTTTTAAAGTATTTTTACAGCAGAAAAACTTTCCTACAGACTCAATTATGTAACTATCAGACTCCACCTCTTAGCTGAAATTATCCAGGGCCTCAAGAAAAAAATCCTTTTTTTTCCTACAGGGGGGTCACAGGTTTCTCCAGAGAAACTTAGCAGTATGGCTAGTAACCCAGGGCAGCTGCGAACCATCAGCCCAGAGACCTTCCCAAGGGCAGTATGGAGCCTGCCAGAGAAAAATTCCAGCCAAGTGCAGGGCAGAAGTCATGTCACTGACCCGGTCATCACACATGACGTGGGGGTGTCCAGGAAGATCCACTCTGGTGGCTTCTGACCCAAGCCACGTCAGCACCTTCACCATTCCCTGGTGCCAAAATGGGGCTAGGGTCACTGAAGGAGTGAGGATGCCTACAGAACTGTCATTAACTCATAGTAACTCTGTCATTGGCAAAGTATAGACAGTATGAGAAAGGCTGGAACTTAAGGAATGAAAAACTTCACCAATGAAACAACGCCAAAATCACATAGGCTTAGGGAGATCAACTTACAGCCCAGGTTTTTGTCAGCCTGAAGATGGGAGCACTTTGTAATGCTGACACCACAGACATGAGAGAATGAAGGTTGTTGAGTTCTAGAAGTTTCTGGAAAAAAAAGATATGGAATAGATTATTTTGCTGCTATAAACAACAGGACAAAAACATGCTCAAGTGTTACCAAATGTCATATTTATAAAATTCAATTACACTTAAAAATATCTCATGTAGAAAACATAGTTCTAGGAAGTTCATAGAAACCATATGCTTTTTTTCTCTTAAATTGTCAAAAGGTGAGCCTACATCTAAAATATTTGCAAAATTTCACAAGTTAACTAGTCTGGACAAAAATGTGGCACGGGATAAGGTTTGATAGTGTGCATTATGTTCTTTTTTTAAACAAATCTGAATACTATCCCAGCAGGCTTCTGTAAACTAAAACCCCGACTGTGCCAACAGCATCAACGTGGGTCTTTTATGATTACCCTAACACCAGAAGGAGAAAGAGGCTGAGGAAAGATGGTACCAATCTGCATAATCCCTCTCAGCTGGGAAGGCAATGCTGGGGCTTCCCCATCACTTGACCACGTTCCTTTGAACCAGTCCCCAAATTAGTGAGAACATTTGGATTCAATTCAGTCTCAGACAAGTTCCTTACCATAGAGGGAAACAGAATGAGACACAGTCAAGTGTAAGTGCTGAAAAATGCAACTGCTCTGTTCCTGGTTTTCTGCTAAGGGAAACTTGCTAACAGGATGGGGTGCCATTTCTCATTCTTGGGAGTCAGTGAAGTTTGGGTTATTAAGCAGGCTCTATGGAACCAAAAGGCCTGGTTCCAATCCCAGCTCCCACTACTTGTGTGTCCTCTGGCAAGTTACCTAATCCTTCTGAGCCTTGGTGTCCTCATACTTAGTGCAGAAGGCAATCACAGCCCCTCTGCTACATGAGACGGTGCATGTCAACTGCCTAGACCAGTGGCTGGTCCCAGGGCAGGAGCTCAGTATGATGTGGGTCGCAGTCTTATCTTTTCCCACCCCTATCACTTGTCTTAAGTATTTCCAAGCTCAGATGCCCCTTCATCTTATATGCCTCTCCTGACTGTGTCCCCACAGAAGTCCATGCATATCTGCAGCACACTGGATTGTACTTGCTTTGTACTTGCCTCTCTCTCACCCTGGACTGTGTGTTTCCTGAGAACAGGGACAAAGTTTTACCTACCATCATGTCTCTGGTACCCAGTACAGCGCCCAGCACATTGCAGGGCCTAGTGAAATGCATAAACAAAGGAAAAGCCCTTATACCTAGTCCTCACAGCTCTGTTCCTGCTTGGAAATTTCTCTCACCACATGAGCTAAACACTTCATTTCATACATCTTGCAACATTCTCTAGTTGTTTCCTGTGTGTAAGAATAGATTCTCTAAGTTAATTGAATTTCATTCTATGTATCTGCATTGCTATGCCTGTCACAGAATTTCTTTTTAGAGCTGAAACGCCTCTGGAAATTAACCTACCCCTTTTATTTTATAAATGTGAAAACCAAGGCCCAGAGAAAGGAAGGGGCTTGCACAACGAAAGACCCAGGGCACAGAGCCAGCATGACAGTCTACCACACAGAAAATGGCAGAGATTAAGGAGGGATCATTTTGGATTCCATGGGTGGGGACCATAAACACATTTCCAAACTGACAGCCCAGGAGAGTGGGAACCACATCCTATTTCTCTTGTGGCCCAGCACAGAACTCACTGATAGCAACAAATATCATTAAGACCAGCACCAGTTCAAGTACTTCAGGAGAATGCATAGGAAGTAAATGTGGCCACTGCTCTTAATTAACATAAATAGATGATGCACTTAACCTGCCCATGAAGGGCAGCAGAGCAACTTCCCTGAAGGCAGAGATGCATAACTCCGATTCCTGCCCGCCCCTGATTGGCCATGGGGCCCTGAGCATGGACACTCCACCTCTCTAAGCCTCTCCTTCCTCTCCAAGTGGAATAATAATAATGTGAGCACTGAATATAATCAGGTCAGTAAAGCAGCTGACCATAGCATGGTGCCTGGCTCATAAGGGGCCTCTGTAAAGCACAGCTTTCCTAGGAGCTGGTGGGGAAGACGACACATGCACACATGCAGCAAGCAGTGAAGCAGCCAGCACGATGCTGCAGCTAAGAGTCAGGCAAGCCTGGGTGGTTGAAAGCAGTATATGGAGAGGAGCTGCTGGGCATGAGAGTGGCTCAGGAAGGCCCATGGGATGGCACAGCATTCCTAGAGATAAGGGAAGAGGAGGCAAAAGGTGATGCCCAACAAGGACAGAAACTATCAGTCCAGGCGGCAGGAGGTGGGGATGGGAGGCTGCAAGGTCATCTGGCCCAGACCTGAAGCTCAGTGGGAGGGGGGTAGGGTCTGCTCATTGCTGACAATATTGTGCAGGATGTGACGGTATCATAAGCATTGAGCACTGATGCTAACTAAAATCCATCAACCCCCAGAACTGGCTAAATCTAAAGTAGGAGAATGAATGGATTCCAGGGGCAGCCTCCAGGTCCTGCCTTGCAGAGAGACTGTGAAAGCCCAGGGAAGGAGAACGGCTGACTGCTAGGGGGCTGGTGAGCAACCAGGCAGGTCCAACAGCTGGCTCTGCCTGGAGAAGTCAACCCACTACACCCTGCTTGAACCCTGCCCAGCAAGCCCACAGCAAAGCAGCTCCCAAAGTACTGAGGAAATATATTTTGGGGGAGGAGGTATAGGAGAGAAGAGGGAAAGGAAGGAAAAATAATAATAAAACAGCTTACCTTGGCTATTTTCACAAAATGGCTGAGGATTTCTGCCCTTATTTTTAAAGTCTGTGCTGTTAGAATTTCTCGTACAACCCAAAAACTGACCTGTAGAGTCAAATACACACACATACACACATACAGACCAGAAAAGTTGTTAATGGCTAGACTACCCATGTCACCCTTGCCCACCGCTGTTATGGGATTTCCAGGAGGTCAGGTAACTGGGAGAGCATAGCCTGGGGTCACATGAGTTAGAATTCCTCTACAGCACCCAACCCTGCAAATGGACCACGTTCTCAGCACCATCTCTCCTGTGCACACAGCAGTGCCAAGAGAAAGCAGCACTTTCTTTGTCATCCCAGGGAGTATTGGGCCTCCGTGACACGAGTCTCGAGAAGAGCTGCTGGGAATCCTGATTGAATCAGACTGGATTCCTGCTCAGAAGGATCCCAGTTGTGGGGACAGCAGGGATGATGGGTGGATGGAGGAACAGATGGACAAACAGCCAAACGGACATGCATATTGGCAGGGCCATTTGTGAGGTCCATATCCCCAGCCAGCCCTAAGACAAGGAGGATTCATTAATATTTGCACAATTTTAACAAAGTTAATTTTTTTTTCAGAGAGGCTCGTCTCATAATGTAAATGATATGGAAGGTAGGTCTTCGAAGTTCCATAAAGCAATGCAGGGGCATGTTTTCCTGGAGACAGCATGCACCAAAAAGGGTATGCTGGTAGCTTTGGTTCTGAAGCCCATTCATGCTTGACCTCTCACATACAGCAACACTCCGAACCCCTGCGTCTGATCGTGTAACAGGAAAGTCATCCACCAGGGTGGAGCTGACTCACGTGGCACCTCAATGAAACGGAAGAGACGCATGCCAAGAAATGCTGGGAAGTGGCTACCTCTTCCTGTTTATGTTTCACTTCTGTAACAACAGTTCTATGTGAAACACTGATGCCCAAGAGTGCAATGACAGCACTGCAAAGAAAGGTGGAAAGCCAGGCAAAGCACGGGGCACAGGGAGGATTGACAGGAAGGCAAGGCATCAAAAACCCATAAACTTTATAGGGAAAAATACAGTTAAGGATATTCCAGAGCTAAGAAAGCAAGCTTACTGCTGCAATAAAATGTATTTTCATTATTGAAATACCATCACTTTTCAAAGAGAAAACAAACAAAGAGAAACCAAGAATCAAAAACGTGCTTTTTATATTAAGCAGAAGTATTAGAGAAATGTTTTCTCAGTGTAATTATCTGCGGTTGCCTCCAGGACATGACTGTTTCCATCGAATCATTTTTTCCAAGGAATCGCCTACAATTAAGTTCAGACTCAAATATTTACTAGCCGGTTATAGCAAAAAGTTCTTCTAAATACCAAATGGGATGCCCATAAACCTTATGTTTTAATACGTGTACATTTTTATACCACATTATCCCAAGTGTGACAGTTTACATGTATAATTTAATAGATTCCTGCATGCCAAAGAATCATACATTTATGGCATATTATGGAACACGGAAGCTTTGACTCTGGAGCTGTAGTACACGTTGTACAGAGGCAACTCTGAATCAACAACTTGATTCAGCAGAGTTCCATGAAGCCCCTTCTGTGTGCAAGCTCCAGGCACTGGGAGTCCAGAGCTTCCTGAAATTGAGCTGACCAAAGAGGGAGGCAGAATCCTTAAGAAATTGCTGTATTAGAAGGCAGCCGGTAATCGTGGCCATGGAAGGAGTTCAAACAGTAGACCAAAGTTTGAGAGAGGTAATGATAGAGGAAGGCTTCTTGAAGAAGGTAGGCCTTGAAAGATGGGTAGACTTTAAACAAGAGAAGACTGAAGTGTGACCGTATGTTCCAGGACCAGGGATGGCTGGGTAGGCTGATGGGACTGGTGGGTAGGGGTAGTGAGTGAGGATGAAGGTGGAGAGGGAGGAGAAGACCAGATTGGGTGTGTGGTAGGGAGGGGAGGACTGGTGCAACAAGGTAAGAAGGAGCTAAAACACTATTCTACACAGGGACTTTCAGAGGCTTCTGAGCAGGGTGATAGGTAAGATCCTTTGGTAGATAGAGACACCCATTAGAAAACTGATGCAATGGTCTCAGTGAGAGATGAGGAGGTCTGAGCCAGGGTGATGCTGAAGGAGATGGAAAGAAGAGGAAGATAAGGAAGACATTACAAAGGTAGAATCAGCATAGTTTTAAACGCTTTTTATTTTATTCTCTTTTCTAACTATAAAACTAACGTTTTAAACTTAAGAAGTTTGATGCAGAAAGCAAGGAAAACAGAGGTAAGTACAAAAGACAAAGAAATGTCAGTCTCACGTACAAATCAACATGATAGACACTGTGGTATGTGTCCTTCCAGTCCTTTTTTCTTCTTTTACTTTTTTAAGATGGAGTCTCACTCTGTTACCCAGGCTGGAGTGCAGTGGTGCAATCTTGGCTTATTGCAAGCTCTGCCTCCTGGGTTCAAGCAATTCTTCTGCCTCAGACTCCTTAGTAGCTGGGATTACAGTCATGAGCCACCACACTTGGCTAATTTTTGTATTTTTAGTAGAGACAGGGTTTCACCATATTGGCCAGGCTGATCTCGAACTCCTGACTTCAGGTGATCTGCCTGCCTCAGCCTCCCAAAGTGCTGGGATTACAGATGTGAGCCACCATGCCCAGTTGTCCTTTTTTTATATATATATAACATGTTTGTCTTTTAAAATTAAATTGGTATATATTAATCATATATCACAAGAATTTTTATAAGTGACGATTCTTCTATAGTTTTTAGCAGCTTCCAAGTATTTCATCATAGAGAAGTATCATCATTTTCTTAAATAACCCTCTACTGTTGAATAGGTTATTTCTAATTTGCTTGTAATAATCAATGCTGTGATAAATATCTTTATACATATGTTTGTATACTTTTTATTAAGGTCTTCAGATAAATTCCTATAAAGTGGAGTGAATAGAAGTGTGTGTACCTGTTTTCAAAAGTATATGGTAAAAAAACATGGCCTCCAAAAGGTCTATTTGTTTACCCATCAACAAGTTGAAGCAGACCCATGTTGCCATATACAGGCAATATACCAGTTATAATCCCTTTTTTTTAAACTAATTCAATGAAAAAAATAGTATGTCACAATTTCTATTTCACATTTCTTTCATGACTATTCAGGCTTTTGCTTCTTCTACTTTTTTTTGCTTTTCTTCAGTTAACATTTTTTGTTCTAAATATTTACAGGCCATTTGTACTATGTGCCTTCTGAATTGTCTGCTCAGGTCCTTCTGAAGAACTGTCTTTCTACTAGGACAACTTTCCTTCCAGCCTCAAACTCCTGGGCTCAAATATCCTCCCACCTTAGCCTTTCAAGTAGCTGGGGTTACAGACACGCATCACCACATCTGGCTCTTTATTTTTTATTTTTATTTTTGTAGAAACGGGGTCTCACTATGTCATCCAAGCAAGTTTTTCCTTATTGATTGATAAGAGCTCTTTGTATATTAAATAAAAATGCATATTTTGAGTCATATATTGTACCAAGAGCATGTAGACATTGGTACTTTTATATATTGTTTGGAGGAAGAGAAATTAATAACATTTTGAAGAACAATTTGAACATATCTTTCAGGATGTTTAAGGTATAATCTCCCTAGGATATTTACCTTATAAAAATACAGAAATAGGCCGGGCACGGTGGCTCAAGCCTGTAATCCCAGCACTGTGGGAGGCCGAGGCGGGTGGATCACGAGGTCAAGAGATTGATACCATCCTGGTCAACATGGTGAAACCCCGTCTCTACTAAAAATACAAAAAATTAGCTGGGCATGGTAGCGCGTGCCTGTAATCCCAGCGACTCAGGAGGCTAGGGCAGGAGAATTGCCTGAACTCGAGAGGCGGAGGTTGCGGTGAGCCGAGATCGCGCCATTGCACTCCAGCCTGGGTAACAAGAGCGAAACTCCGTCTCAAAAAAAAAAAAAAATACAGAAATATACAAACACATATATACAAGGTTTCAGTGAAGCACTATCCACCATTTTTAAATTGGTTACACAATTTATACTACCACCTCAAACTCTGAAAGGAAGTCACTAAGCTCAGCCAATATTTAACAAGTGGGAAGTTACATTCTACCTTCTTGAGGTCTAATCTACAGACATTATTTGAAATTCTTCCGTATGAGAGATTTGTCGATTCTCCCGCATTTATTTATATCATATAGACTTGCGGATATTTATTTTATGCTTTGCGTTACAATCCAATACTGTGATTTACATGCTGCTCAAGTTGTTTCAACTTTGGCCTTTGAGAGTTCTCTCAGTTAGCTCCTGCATCCCTTTGACATAACCCCTGTATTGTTTTGATGTATTAGTTTGAGCACCCTTGTCTTCTGGCACTAAAATATGCAACAGGCTCATCTTTTATATTTCTTGCCTTAGTGTTAAAATTAGTCATTTCTCCAAGGAACCCTGGTTCCTTTTATCAAATAATAGTATTAGAAACAAAGATTAGCACAAAATAGGTGTGACATATGCTTGATGCTACTGGGGTATCATTGTTTCTAGGTCCTCTCAGCTAGCAGAGCCAAGAAATTGTGTGTGTGTGTGTGTGTGTGTGTGTGTGTGTGCGCGCGCGCGTATGCACACGCACGCACGCTAACCCATGCCAATATACCTATCTATAAAGATTCCCATATGTAGCCATCTATATCTATATTAAGCTAAACGTGAGTTCATACTGATGTCTCCAACTGTAATCTATTACCACCTGTATCATTCTAGCCTCCTCACCCAACTTATCTGTAATTTCCCACTCCAGCACTGAGAAACTTGGTTCCCATTTGCCACCCACTTCCTTTTATTCTCATATTCATCCATTTCTTATATTATATTGTTTGATTCCAGTATACAGGGATAATGGTTTCAGAATTGTTACCCATGCCCCTTGGAAAACAACTTTATCAAATAGAGTATGGTGCTTATGTCTTTAGTCTTATTGGCTCCACTCTATTATAAATTCACTTAGGTCAGCAATGTTTCCTCTCACTCCCCTCAGTGACGTTGTTCATATATTTATAATAGATTCTTTTGTTACATTCTGCATTCCATTAT